TTTAAATAAATACGTGCTTTACAAATATGTCTTCTTCCCTTTTTAACATCGTTTATCCTCATGTCATGAGTGTCTGATTCAGATTCTTCATCTTCTGATTTTTCATGCAAATTATTCACTCGTTTTTGCCGACATACATTTGCAAAATGTCCTATTTTTTTACAATTCAAACACTGTTTTTGATAGGCTGGGCATTTACCAAATTCATGTTTTGTTCCACATCTACTACATGGATGATTTGTCTTTTCGTTATATTTCACTTCTCTCTTATACCCCTTATTGTTTCTTCTTACTTGCGATTTCCAACTCTTTATCATTATTCTTGAATATCTCATGACGAGCTCTTTCCATTGAAGTGGCCAGTTCAAAAATATCTTCAGTTGTTAACTTGTCACCATTTTCTTTTACACCATCAGGCCATCGTTGTCTAATTTCTACTTCAAACTTTGGAAAATTTATACCTCCTGCAAATCTGTCTCTTATTCTTTCATCAAACTTATTCTCATACTTGCAAAATTCTGCTAAATTTTTCAACCGTATTACAAATTCTGAAAGGCTTTCACTATCTTCTCTGATGCATTTTTCAAACTCCATTCTAGCTGAAAATATAGTCTTTCTAGCTTTGTATACTGACCTGAAACAATTAACTAGTTCTGCCCACGTAGCCTGATGTACTTTCAAAGGCAGTAGAAAGTTTGAAATCTTTCTTAATGGTGCAGGACCCACATATGCAAGCAAAAGATCCCTTCGAGCATCCTCTGCTCTCTGAGAGTCTTCTCAAAATCCTTTTACCTTGCATAATAATAGAAAATGTGCTTCATAATCATCCCACCTACTAGACTCATCATAGCTTTGACATTTGAACTTCTCTATCTTTGATTGTAATGTGTCTTCTTTAGTTTCATACTTCTCTTCTTCGTTGAAATAACTATTTCTTCTTTTGGTTCGTTTACTCATCGTTGCCAATATAGAATTAGACTAAATGATATTCAAAATACAAAAGAACCATTTTATTTCATTCTTAAACACATCAATCTAAACAGAACATTTTACTAACAAACTTAATAATAATATATCAGCTGATGAATTAATCACTTACAGATTTAACTATCTAACACTGACATTTTGAAATACGGCAGTGTACGATTATTTTGTTGTCCAAGGTTGGCAACGCTCCGTGGAGTGGGCGCGGCCGGGTTAGCGACTTCCATAGTTAGCGAATTCCGCCGCGAGACAAAATCGAGTTAGCGGGTTCCGGAGTTAGCCAATTCCTGACTGAGACGGTTAGCCAGTTCCAGAGTTAGTCAGTTCTGATTCACGACCGAGTTAGCGAGTTCCTGAGTTAGCCAATTCCTACGTCACTGCCTAGGAGATTGCAACGGATCTCATCTATTCCATCTCAGGTCTCAGGATTTACCATTGACCTCAAAGAGCAAAGCAACGAAACAAGACACAATACTCGCTAAAGTAATAAACTACTGTACTTTAGAAGTGGATGGCCAGAAAATGTTACCAACAATAAAGAAGTTTTACCTTATCATAACAAGTGTGAAGAATTTTTTTTTTTAAACGGAATAATACTCTGGTTTGGTCGCATAGTAATACCTTCAAAACTGAGGCTAAGAGTAATGGAAGTACTCTACGAGGGACATCCAGGAATAGTCGCCATGAAAGGCAAAGCGAGATTTCAAGTGTTTTGGCCCGGGCTAGATAAAGATCTGGAAGAACATACAAAACATTGTGTTTGTTGTCAAGAGAACAGGCCTAAAGACACGGAGATGCCACTCTTGTCGTGGACCGTCCCAACAGAAGTCTGGTCAAGAATTCACATAGACTTTGCAGGGCCATTCTTAGGTAAAATGTGGTTGATTGTTGTAGACGCACGATCAAAATGGCTAGAAGTGATACCCATGTCGACAACAACTACAAAAGCCACTATCAATGCCTTTGAAGAATTGTTCTCAAGATTAGGCTATCCCAAAACCATCTTCAGTGACAACGCTCCTTAGATGACATCTCATGAGTTCCAGATATTCTGCAAAAAGATATCAAGCACGCCCGTATAACACCATATCACTCAAAAAGCAATGGGTTAGCAGAACGGTGTGTTTGAACATTCAAAGAACGTATGTGTGCATCACAGAACAATGTAGGAACCGTCCAAGAAAAGCTTAAAAGTTTCTTGTTCGCATACAGAACATCTCCAAAAAGATCAACTGGAAAATCACCAGCTTTTATGATGTTTGGTCGCAAACTACGAACAAAACTGGACCTACTTAACTCCGACGCATCTGCCATTAAATTACATTAAATTAGATGAAAAATTGGTTAGATAACGATTGGACAAACACGAATCAAAATTAAAAGTATTTCAAGAGGATGACCATGTCTGGGTGTTAAATCCATCTGGATCAGGATTCAAGCGAGGCAAGATAGTGAAGGTAATTGGACCCTATTCATATCTTGGTATGAACAGGAGATGTCATGCAGATCATTTGCGAATGGCAGTCAGCTCTTAGCAGAAGGAGGGATGTGTAGTGTACCAGCTGGTGTTATTGTCATATGTTTTAATATTAATTAATTGTCGATATGTTTACAGTTCAGTTGTTTGTTTACTCAAATAAAATACACATAAATTTTCAAAATATGTCTTAACAGTTTATTCTATTAATATAATAAACCATAACACTACAACCTTCTTTACAAGAAAATACTCTCTTAAGAACTCTATTCCAGAACTACAATGTAAAGGCAAACCAGTACCCCACAACCCGAACCCATCATTACTTGGAATCACTCTTGATCCCAAACTTTTATGATTTCGTTGCAGTGTATATAAAGACTAAACCTACTCAAAGCTGTTGCTAGCAGGACATGGGAAGCAGATACTCTCATACTGAGGCAGTTATTTATATCATTCATTCGATCTAAGATAAAGTATGGAGCAGAAATTTGGGGCTCTGTAGCAAAAACACATATGAATAAACTAAATGTAATCAAAAACTCAGCCCTAGGTTAGAACTTGCCTAGGATGCCCAAAAAGACAACCCCTGTACAAGCTATGGAAATAGAGTTAGTTGAACATCGAACCTCTTGACATATGCATACAAAAAGCAACCTGGCACAAGTCCCTCAGTATTTCTGCAGACCCTTCATCAAATCTATCTCTAAGACTAAACCCACAAGAGACTTATCACAAGTCCTATTTAGCCTTCAAACAACATTAGTAGCAGAAAATACACCAAACATTCATCCAATGCCATACCCAACAGTCAACAGAATCCTAACTTGGTGCTTTCGACCTCCCAAAATTGAACTAGACCTTCCAGGATTCACGTCAAAAAAAGAACCTTCAGAAACCCAAAGAGCCGTGGCCATAGAAATAATAAACACAAACTAAAACAATTATTACAAGATCTGCACTGATGGGTTTTTGGACCCCACTGAGCCAAAATCTGGAGCTGGCTATTTAGCAGAACACTCCAACACCTCTTTTTTTGTTCTAACATATTCATGCTCAAGCACTGAACTGAGCTTCTTGCCATCAACGCAGCAGCTGCCCACTGCATAAGTTTGGCGAGTGAGAACATATGCATCCTCAGTGATTGAAAAAGCGCACTACAGCTTCAAACTATTATCATAGAACACAAAAAATATTTCATCTCCTGAATCTAGGCGTCAGGAAAAAATATTTGTTTCCAATGGATACCAGATCACTGTGGACTGCATGGAAATGAAGAAGCTGATAAAATAGCAAAAGCAGCCTCCTTAATGCATCCAATACCACCGAAGCAACCAACTCTCTCCAGTTGCATAGCCACAGCTCACAGAACTCTGAGACACAGGTGGGTAGAGAGATGGAACGATGAACCTACTGGTCGCCACCTTTATGGCCTCCTCAAAAAACCCAACACCATCGAAATCTACAAAAACCTTCCCAAATCAGTGCATTGTTTGCCTCAAGAGCAAGAACAGGACATATAATTACACAATCCTATCTCTTTCTATTTAACCTCACAGAGTCACCCCTGTGTCTCGTTTGTCAATTGGAAGAAGAGACTGTAGAACACACCCTCCTGCACTGAACCAGTAAGTCAGATGGGAGAGATGAGCTGAAGAGAAAACTTCAAACTGACTGTTCTCTCAACAGCATCCTGACTGAGCCTAAAGCCCCGTTAACACGGGGCGAGTTTACAAGCTACACGCCAACTTTTTACACGCAGCTAGTAAAATAGCTCAGTGTGAACAAAGTACTCGCTCAAAAGCTGCTTGTAAAAAAGCTCTGGAAAAAGTTGACGCTGCCGCTACTTTACACACCAACTTGCCAGCTTTTGAGCGAGTAGGCGTGTAAAGTAGCCCAGTGTGAACACAGTTGCTTGTGCTTGTGCGCATGTTATTCAAAGATGTCGGAGGATTTGGTTCAAGCTAGCTACTGAGCGAGTGGAAAAAGCATCGTGTGAACGACTAAAAGCACACTCGCCGGCGTCTTTCTACACGTTTGCGAGTTGGCGAGTGGACAATCTCTATGTGAACAAATACAAGCACACTCGCCAACTCGCGGGCCCTGTGTATGAGAGACATTGTGCGGTCGGCATCACTTGAAGCTGGAAGCACGTACCAAGAAGTAAGAAGTAATTAAAGTGAGATCAACTCCCCCCTCTTCATTTACGGCCATTCTGCCCTCAGTAGTCTTATGTCCAAAGCACCATCAGTGTAAGTACACAACATGTATACAGTGGGGTAGGCACTGAAAGTGACAAGGAGATCAGCAGAGAGCAAGAAGGAAGACAACAGTGACAGTGAGATCAACTACCCCACCTCCAATGACGGTAATTCTATCCCCAGCAGTTCCATGTTCAATGGTACCATCATTGTAATTATACAACTAGTAGGCTATACAGTTTTTGGACAATATTTAAATATCTGAAAATACGTCCATGCTCCTTCTGTGATAATGGTTTATACAACAATGTCTCTAATTATGTTTTGTTATTTTTCAGGATGTAATCACTACTAATTATGATGACGAAGATTCAAACAAAAGGCCTACAAGGTAACTAGTTAACTTTCTATTTATGTCAATGCAATAAAATAAATGTATTTGATTTTTTTCGAGCAAAAACATGATGTTGCATTAGTTTCAACTAAACAAGGGATATCCAGAAAGTAGATTACATTTTGGAATTAATCACATAATAGTAGGTATAGACTGGATTCAATGATTTATTTCGGGACGGGATTTTTTCCTGTGCAAAAAAAGGGTTTGTTTTAGCGAATTTCCCTATAGGGAAGTAGCTATTACTGTAGGTGGCACGGTAAGACCTATACCCGGGACCGATTTACTTTTTCATTTTGATGTCCCCAGAGGCCAAAAACACCATTCGTTTAAATTTTTATATATGTATATATATATATATATATATACTTATATATATATATATATACTAGGTGAACCCGTGTGAATTCGCACGAATAATAAATTTGTATATTGTAGCAACGTCGTTAGAAGTTGCGTCATTGTATCGACGTTGGTCTTGAGCTCGATCATTGGCTATATTCATTTTAAGTTCTTTTTGCTGTTCAGTAGGAGTATTTTGATGAACGGAGCTCATCATGCTGAATACTTGCGTGTGTGGATTAATATCAACCAAATGTTGAGTCAAAATGTGCATGAGTTCAGTGCTGCAAGAGCCATTAGCTTTGTTTAGCATTCTTTCTTGCTCGAACAGCGGTTTCGACGTCGTAGATATAAATTTGGGCGTATGTGGGATGCTCCCCTTCTGACGGTTGTAAGGTGCCAATTGAGTGATACATTGTGTCGTGCACCTTAAACATGAAAGGCCCTCCAACGTTATGTTCTTCAATTTTAGCTCGAGTGCTGACCATTGCGAGCGCAGAGTTGTACGATCTAATGTTCTCTTTGTAGTTTCTGCTCAAATGATTTGCTCCATTTAGTAGGCTCTGGATATAATACCTCTCTCGGTATGGTGGTAGATTCACTTTTTCTTTATGGCAGCAGGATGAAAATCCTTCGCCTCGTCCTCTTTGTTCTTCTTTAAAATGTAGCATACCCCATTTTAATGCCATCTTGCCAAGTGAATGCTGCTGAGTTCTTGTATTTGTCAGTGTAATTTTGTAAGTACATGTTGCCACTAACTGTTCCAGCTCCTCGTCTGGGCTTCTTACGTTTTGCATTGCTTGCCGTATATTGACTCGCCGTGTCCGACCGGCAATATTTCTTTGTCGTCGGGTCCTTAAATGTAAAACTTTTCTCCCGTCGTGTCCTATAGGTAACATTTCCTTGCTGGGTTTCTAATTACTGTTTACATTTCAAAACCAAACAAAACAGCTGGAATTTATTTTTTTAACTAATGTATTTACATCTGTTTCAGAATATAATAACACTCAAATCAATCACAATGTTATCCTTATGGAAGGAACTTTGAGGGCAGCCCACACCCTTAAAAAGATATATTTCAAAAAACTAAATCCAGTTTGCACATCTACACACCTAGACGAACATTTTGGTATATAATATGTGGGGTTAAATTTTGAAACAAAAAATCCTTATTGTTCACAAAGTTTCATGTCGCGTATTAAATATATAGATATATATATATATATATACGTCCGTGAACGCGATAACTTGAGTAATTTTTGTCCGATTTTGATGAAATTTGGTTTAAAGGTGTAAAGCGAGATAAACTTGAATGAGTTCGCGAACCAGCATGATCGAACCATGGGAACGGGGCTTTACAGAGGGTTTTATGGGGTAAAAATTGGTTTTTCTCACTTTTGAACCTCAAAACACAAAATTTCCCAATTTCTCTTTAGACCTTTTTAAAGAGCTTAAAAAAACAATTAATTTAGTATATAAAAGTGTTTTTGTTCGGTTAATACAGGGTGTCTACCAACCGGGAAATCCGGGAAAACCGGGAATTGTACCTAATTTTTTACTGGCCATGAAATGTACGGGAATTGTCCTTAAATGCCAGACTATGTCCTTAAATTTTTAATGGGCCATAATTTTATCGATCGCTAGTTGGTTAGGAGCACATAAAAGGTTTATCAGATGTTTGTTTACATTTTCATAATTTATTACTAGGGTAATAAAAACCCCAATAAAAAACAAATATGCAATAAAAACCCCATTAGCATTCTCAAACCCATTAATATTTTATCACGACAATCAAGTGTCAAATCAAGTACTTCCAAGAACTGTTGACTCAGTAGTAGTTTAGCTCATAAAAGTTGTATCACTTTTATTCCCTTACAACATTTATTTATTACTAGGGTAATCATTATTAGATCCAAAACATATTTTATCATGGAAATAATAGTTTTATAATGGCTGTTAAATTTCACTTCTTACTTGTTCTTCAATTTACCGCTGGCCATTGCCTAGTGCCATAAAACTGTTTATGGTTTCATATAAAACATGTAACTAATCTTAAACATAACTAAGTTAAACCCTTTTTTATGGATATTTTATCTTTCAATTGACAAAACCAAAAGCATCGTTGTTTGCATTAAATTTTTATCACTACGTAGGCCTATTTGGTTTCAAATGACGTCATAGCATTTTCTGTATCTTTGTACATTGTTGGCAGTTAGTTTTCAATTTTTTTATTTCCCATATTTATTTATTGAGTTGTATGCTTTAAGCAATATAAATCTTATGAACTAGAATGATGATAGTGACTTTGCTGATATTATAACCTCATTGTTTGTTACTCAGTTAATATAGGCCCTCCTAAATAGTTAGGTCTAGGCCTGGGTATTTTGATTCTTTGAAAGTGCTGTAAAATATACTAAGAAAATGTAATTGAGCCTAAGATAAAGTAATGATTGCTATGTGTCGATATTAACTTTGCAGATGAAAAGACAATAATCTTACTCTGTGCTTACTGGTAGCCGCTTACCATACCGATTTTGTACCTAGAACCGAGTTACTGTACAATATATTCATTATGCATTAAAGATTTTTTTTTCAAAAGTAGTTGAGAACCTAACGTTGTGCCAGGGCGAATAATGCCAAATTAATCCGCCTGGATCGGATAAGCTATGTTATGATGTTTCTGTGACCGATGGAGATATTTAGGATTTTGTCGCTATTGCAGGAGACAATGATTGCATTTTCTGTTACACTATAAAAGCTGTACCTAAAGTAGGGCCTATATGTTTGTTTACTTTCAATAATTTTCTATTTTGAAATTTAATTCTTGTCTATTATTATTTACTTTTCTCTCTGGAACAACTACGAAGAACAAGATTAATACAGTTTGACAAATCAGAAATATTATTCTGTAATCACACCGACAAAGGTCCTTAAATGTACGGGAATTGTCCATGAATTTTTTATCCAGAATGTAGTAGACACCCTGAAATAGTAACGGAGAAAATTAAAAATATTGTAAATTTAAAATTCCCATGTTATTCTTATGGAGAATATTGTCAAATGTTGTAGTTTGCTTGTTTATGGATACATTTGGTATTTTGATCAAATTTATTTATTTTGTACTATATGACAAAATTTCGGGTTGAGAGACAAAATTGAGATTTTATAGTACGTGATTGTCGTCTCACCTGAAATTAGGTCACACCTTAAATTTGTCCAGATAGCTTAGCCTACTATGAGATAGTCCAGGACTCTAACGTGTTCGTTAATTAATTACCGTTTCGAGTTTATTGGCTCAGAATTAAATACAACAATAATGCTTACAATGTTAAGCTTACCTTTAACAAGTGCTCATCATAGCCACTCGAAAAATATGTGAAGTTAAATTTAGAATTTTGAATAACCTATGATGAATGCGAATAACCTAATTAATTAGAAACTTAACTAAAACGAGACTCGGTCGTTATACTTGGTAATCACCAAAGTAAACGTGTCAGGGAAAATTTAACTCGGTCGATCACCAGAGTCGGTCCGGGGTTTCTTAAACCAAATTTGCGTAGGACGGCTCGGGGTAACGGAATAATCCCCACGGATATTACTCGGGTGAATTGAATAAATTTCGTGGCAAGTAAGAGCCGAAGGTATGTGAGCTGACGGCGGGAAAAAGCGTGCAAGTCGCGCGCAGCGCGCAATTGCGGCACAATTAAAATAAAAATTAAACTTCTCTACAACTAAAATTAAACGAAATTCTATAACGGTAGCACACAATAGCTAAGGACTCCACCACCAAGGGGAAAACTTTATTTAACTCACCAGGATGACTCGGGTCTTTACTAATTGTTGGATTGCTCCAAACAGCAACGTCCTTATCAATCTGAGGCGGGTAGACAACTGAACTTGATGTCTGCTCCTCTGGCCCTTCTTCCCCATCGCTCCTGGCGGCAGGGTAGCTAACTAATTTCCTCCCCACTACGATGACGTAGGCCTGCTCCTTCGATGCCGTTGTCAACGCGGGCGCGGTTTACCCCGAACGAAAACTAATACTTCTAAATAAAACTTAAAAACGACTTTTAACCCCTTGACGGCTTTTGGGTCGTTACACCCCCTTCTTACCTCGCAGGGAAAAAAAAGAAAAACGGAAAAAAATAAAAAAAAGAATACCCAGACCTAGGGTATTAACGACATCTGTCGCGAAGCTCTACTTGAGCGAAAACAAAGAAAACGGAAACTAAAAACTCGTCTCGAAATGGGCGCGTCGCCTCAATAGATGTCCTTCATCGTCCGCAGCTTCTTCGTTCGGACCCGGAAAAACGTACCGTCTTCCCTGAAGACCTTCATCCTTTGGTTCTTCCTGCGCCGCCCCGTGTCTTCCAATGGCAAGTTGGACAGGAGGGCGCTGTCCAACCTCCCGTGGCACTGGCCGGCTAAACGACGCGGTGGCGATCGGGGCGTGACGTGCATCGGCAGGAGTATTGCGACGGTCGGCTGGGGATACCTCCACCAGCGCGGCCGTTGCAACCGCGGGTCGACGGGGTGGTTCCTCTTCCTCCTCGCCTTCCAAGTCGGATGTGTCCAGGTTTATAACGTCGTCGTCAGCTGCTACGGACGCTTCGGCGAACTCTGTCGGCTGGGTTAATGACTCTTTCCTCTCCCTC